ACCTTTTTTGGGTGACCGCGTTCAGGTTCTGGTGGAGATTTTTCCTTTGCCTTTGTGAACATGTTAATATTAAAAATTATTGAGCCTAAGATGCTAAGCAAAGTTTAAAGCATGAAAATTAAGTAGGATTATTTCATTAGCTTTGCAACTTTTGTGTAACTGGTAGTAAAAATGAAGAGGGGGGAATAGATATTTGGATGTGGTAAATTTTAAGCCACATAATGGTGGCGATAAAAATCCATAATGTCAGTTGCCTTGTGGCAATCAGCAAACATTTCACATTATGCTTGCATCTTAGGGTTTGCGGCCAAAAAACAGATTTGCCTCTGTCTCATTAAAATAACGAATGCAGTCCGAATGGATCTGAAATGATTCACTGTACGTCACACTAAATCACGACGCTTTTTGGAACCAACTGACTATGGCCTCATTCCTTTAGACAAAAGTGGGCTTGGAGGAAAAACTGTGGTGATGTTTTTTTTGTTCAGCCATGTTCTTCTCTTTGAAATACTTAAGGCAAAAGAGCAGATAGATTTTTCCCACTGGTAGCTTATGAGGATTGGGTTATATTAAATCTAAAATTCTTTTTCATACAGATTAATGAACAAAACATTAATGGTAGTGCAGGAGATTAGAGGTTAATCATAAACACAAATTTGATTTTTAAGGCTAATTTTACTGAACATAAATCATTGTGATTAGAGATTTAACAGTGTAACTAACTTATTTACAGGATACAAACACAGAATTTTGAATTATTCTGTAAATGTAATACGTTTGAATACTTGTTTATTCTCATACCACATTATGTGCATCCTTACATATTTGTGGTTTACCTTGTGTTAGACTTACATCAGTTTCCCTATCTTCCATAAAATATATCACAAGAATACTGCAAAGAAATGTTGTTGTCTTCATTTGCACAGACAAAATTATTATTTAGACAAACATGTTTGTTTTAGTTTCAATATTAATATTTAAGAATGTAAGCACACTGCTTTAATGAATTTGGGGAACAAATATTAAATCAAGTTTTGGTGTTTGTAGAGTTGATTAGGAAAATTTTAAAGGTTAAATTGGATTACTTGAAAATTACCTCATATATAAATAGGTAAACAATTTCAGAAATTAAATTTTAAGAAACAGGCATATGTTTATTGATTCATGAATACATTCTAGCCTTTTTTATCAGAGGAAAAATTAACCAGAATCATGGTGAAAATAATATTTTGAAGATTGTGGTAAGTGAATGGCAGAAATCTCAAATATGGATTTGAAAAGAATCAACATAGAGTAGGGCATTTTTTCCATGTTGCTGATTGGTTTATTTTATAAATGTATACTTCAGTTTAATGACAGAACATTGTACCTTGATACACGCTGTTCTAGATAACTGCAAGATAGCAGCATTTTTAAAATTTGAGTAACATAGGTTTCTAATTTAGTAGGAAAATATTTTGTTATATTTATATTGGGAATTTTACATTTCAGATATAAGAAGAATTGTATGAGAAACATCCATGGTATGACTGGTTTAAAACATCACAAATCCCTCTTTTTCATTTCCCATTGAACAGGAGACTGAAGGGGATTAAAGACTAAAGACATATCACAAACAAATTTACATTATCAAAATTACTGTAATCAGTCTTTTCTGTATTAATAAGGATTTAATAAAACTTTCTGATTTGCAGACCAATCAAAACGGTCAGAAAATAGATAGTGGAGTGAAAGCAGAATTTTAATTAAAATTGTTTTGTGCATTACATTAAAAAATATTTGTATTAACTTACTGTAAAATTACAAGTTGGGTAACAAAGTGCATCTAATAATGTAAATTACTTTTAAGAATGTGATAAAACCAAATCTTTCACATCTGGAATAATATCAATGGAAATTTATTTGTAGGTTTATGCAAATATTTGCAATTTTTGCAAATCTACACCAGCCTAACACCAACTAAACAATCTTGTTTTATTTTGCAGAGGAGATGCAGTACCTTTCTGTCCTGCTAAATATGAACATCTTACTTTAAACCACAGCATTGGTACTCCAGTTTAGATGACTTAATTAAAAAAAATGATGCAAATTCTTTGTAGGCTTCAGTTTAGGATCTTTGGTATTGTATATTAATATGTACAATATTTTACCGTTATCTCCTAGTCCTTTGCAAGGATGGTCTCTGAGCTAAATATCTTATCATTCAACTATTCTTTTTTTTTGGTCTTCATAACCCTAAATGCCTGGTTTTGGTCTTGGAGACCGAATCACTGGAAATAGTCTATGTTTTGGAAAAAGAAGCTAGGAACTTACTATGGTGGGACTTTGAGCTTCCAACTTAAATACCACTACACCAAGACACAGTTGGCAATACCTGGGTTTGCTCTAAGGAAGTATATAGAAGCAGCACACTGAGGCCTACATCCACCCGTGGTCCATGCTTTGTAACCATGATGCAGGTTAAAAATGGTACAGGAATAAACCCTGAATGCATTTTCCTGCGTCTTTTGATTCTGTATACAATAAATAGAGCCACATTGTCTTGATGTCAGTTCATAAATTGAGATCTGTAAAGCAATGGCTTTGCTGTCATCAATAAGACGTTTCACAAATTACTGCAGTGGAAGTAGGATTGGCCCTACATCCACTATCTTCTTATAAACATCAAGCCTATTACAACCATAAACTGTAGAACTATATGCCAAAGAATGAATGCCACAAAGATCTAGAATTCCAACTAAAAATGTGATAACACTGACTTCTTTGGGAATTCAGAGAAGCACAAACAACAATGCCGCACCTTCCATTTGCCTGGTTTTAGCAGAAAATTGGATACTGATGATGGCTATAGCGTAGCATAAGGCTTCATTACCTTTATTACATTTCATAAGTTATAACTGATTGGGTTTCAGCAAAAAGATATTAAAAGCAGACCACTGTATTCTGGATTTTGCATGTTCAAACCTGTTGCTTCCCTGTGTTTGGTTAATCAAGTTTTTATTTTGTAATCTAAAGAACACTTCAGCTAAGATTTGACAGTAGCAATGCAAATTGACTACTTTTTCCAACACATATTTAATAAGATTATACTGATTAGAAAAAATATTGGTTTTGGTTAGTAACTAATATTAGATATCTTAAAAGCAATGGATGCCTGAAAACTGTTTCCCTCTTTGCTAGTCACTCTAAAGGTGTTTTAGAGTTAAAGTTTGGGAAACTAAACAGAACAAGAAAACAATAATTTTCATTAAAGCTGGCATTCAGTGTGTTTTCTTTTAAGCAGAACAGTAATGAGATAATTAATAGATTGATATACACAAGTTGCATTTCAGTATTATCTGAAAATACAGCACAATGAATATGAAAATGAAGGCTAGAAAAGAGAAAAAAAAGAGTGTTTTAACAGAGAAAAAAGGGTTCTCAAAATTTCAAAATCCTTCTTTTGTACCCCCTAAAATCACTGAATGCTACAGAATTAATTCTCATATAAAATACAAAATAGAACTTGAACTACAAAGGATTTTTAGTAGGATATTGTCAATGAAATGCAATGCAAGATTAACTCTGAAGATACCATTTCCTCAAATGCAATATTCTAGCATTAGGTGTTTCTAGAGAAGTAGGGCACAACCCGATTGTTTTCATCCAAAGTTAGGATTTATCGTCATGGATACTTTGGCGGCATTACAAATATAAAATAATTTAAACAGAAACAGTCACCTTCTAGTTAACAAGAAACTGTAAAAGGGTTCAATATGTGTTCCTTCCAGTTGCTTGCCTGTATAAAAGTTTGTAAGTTTTGCAGACGCTGTTGGACACAATTTATCCTAGTGCCTACTTTTCAGACTAACCACTAAGTAATTATGGTTTATTAAATTCTAGTTAAACACTATACTGGTATTATATGCAGGAAAGAAAGAGGAAATAAATTGATTTTCTCCGTGTCTAAATTATAAAGTTCACCTTTCTTGGTGTGTATTTTTAGATGCATTTTAGGGATTATTTTGACATAACTGTGGTGAATTCTATACTTCTGTTTGCGAATATCCAGCACTCTAAAATTACTCAGATGCTCTAACCTTCCCACATTTCCATATAATTTTCTTTATCACAGGTTTTATCTTCTGTGTTTGAAATTCCATTTTTATTCTTCTGGGTATAAGAGCATTTAATTAAAAATTGGTTATGAGCAGTTCTGAAAATCTCATGGTTCTTTGGAATGTGGATATTTAATCTGAGAAAAGATATGACAAAATAAGGAAGCATTTTTTTTACTGGAAAAAGTGAGAGAAAAGATAATCAATCAAGTTATTGTTCTACATACACCTTATATCTAACACTATAATTTCCCTTAGTTATGCAGTTACAGAATTAGTCCATTTTTTCTGTCATAATGATCAGAAAAAGAAGTCATTATCAATCTCACTGTTATTAATGATTGTCTCTGTTTGCAATATGAAACCTGTAAATACTGTGTTCTACAGCTATTTTAATAGGACTGGAAATGTAGCAATCAAACTATTCTGCATTTAAATAACCCCAACTGCTCCATTTCCAGGGCTTTCAGCGAGAATTAATAAATGTTTATTGTAAAATCATGTTTTAGTGTTAAATTGAACCTTTGTTGCAAATCATTTCTGGCACTCACTCAGCTTGCAGAATTTAAAATTATCTTTGCTGATTTGCATTTCCCAGTCATTTTTGCTTCCGCAATGGTTCTTGCCTTTAGTTTTGTCAGAAGTGTTTTAAACATACTTTTGAGTCTCATCTCTTTCTCTTTGTCTTGACACATAAAAAACAGATAAACTGGTTTTCTGGAAAAAAAAAGGAAGGATGAAGAAATAAAAATGGAAATGAGTAGAAGCCAGTTTTAAGCATATGTCTGTCCGAATGAGGCTTAATCACACACTTCATTTTGCAAATACAAAAGTCTTTTGGAAATGTATTAATTAAAATTAAATACTACAGACAAGCAGCTTTAGAGGGACTGCAGTCCTCTCCAAATTAGCATAACACTGGCGACAGCCATGGAAATTGGTTTAATAACCCTAAATAGTTACACCCCATTTCTAACACAAATGGCCGTGACAGGTCTAGCCCCTGAGGCTGCTACTGTACCAGTTTACGTGGTCGTTCTGACATTGGGCGGTGGGTATTCCTGTCTGAACACAAAACACAGAATGCATCTCAATTATTGTTATGCAATGATTTGTGAAGCATATAAGACATAAGAGCATTAAAAACATCCTAACAATTTAGGGACCAGGGACAGAGCCCACTTGGTAACTTGTGCCAATGTGACATGCTTGGAGCAAGCTTTTAGTTTTGCAATCACAGTGGGCCAAGCTTTCAACATAGTAGAGGATCAGGAGTTGCAGACACAACAGAGGACCAAGCAAATAGAATAGCAATGATTTCAAACAATCCTTTAGCGTCTTCTCTGACACTGTGCTCTGAGCATTAAACTTTTACAAAAATAACCGCAAAGGTGTTCCCTTCTAATAAAGCTGCAGCTTTGAGGTCAGACTTTAGTTAAGTGTCCAAATGCACAAACTCAAACAACCTTATGCCCAGTCTACATCACTTTAAATGACAAGAGGAAACCACTCCTCCCCCTCCCCCAAGATTTATGGGATAAGTAAAAGAAAAAGTATATTGAAATGGAGTTTAATACCCAATGGTTCTTTTTACACTTAATCACTCACCCAACTTCTACCAGTCTAATCCTTTCCAAATGATGCTCCTTTACACTTTACATTGATATCACCATTTATTTTGCTTAGACTGCCAACTGCTTTAGAGAGATGTAGAACAGAGAGAGTGGTTATTTGTGTCTTTTATTTGTTATAAATACATATAAATATGTCCAGCGACTTTGTGTTTTGTTTACCAAAGAAGAGCAATGACTTTGGAAAGTCACCTGGAAAACCCAAGGAAGCTGAGAAACAGGCAAAAAAAGCAGGCAACAGTGTACAATCAAAAGATCTTTGTCAGTCCAAGAATGGGTTCTTAACTTGGAAAGAAACTCATACAATTGTAAAGTTTCCATGGTTTTACCAACACCACCAAAAACCAAAACCTGAGAGATGATTAGATGGCATTCAATTTAATTCGTGGGCACTCTCTATTAGAGCTGCCTACGTAATACATTACCCTCCCCCTTTTTTTTATAAGTGATTTTGCATTCTGAAAACATTGCATAGTTTTTACTCAGGTTGATCAATCCAAAAGAAAACTCACTGAGATTCCCATTTCCAGATTTTCTCTCTTTTTGCTCTCTCTGTGTGTTTTCAAAACTTTGTTTAAACGGGCCGAAAACTTTACGGGTCAAAGCAAGTTGACAGGCAAAAGGAACGCTCAAAGTTAATCCGTGAGCAGGTTGGGAAGAAAATAAATAAATAAAAAAACCGCTACCCAAAGTTGCAAGCAGCACGACTGCTTCAAAACCATGGAAGGGGTGGGGAGCATTTTACAGCACTTTAGCCAAAAGAACTTGCAAACGGCGGGGTGGATTTGTCCAAACAGCTTTCAAATACCTCCGAATGAGCGCGCGAAAGAAAGAACCTGGATTTAAACAAAATAAAAAATAAAAAAGGGAGAAACTTAACTGATGGTTGGAAGCCAGGGCGGATGGAGTGGCAAGAAAAGCGGGCAGGCAAAAGAAATCAAGGCTTATCAGTGCAGTGTTTGCAGAGCGCGGAGGCTGTCCCAGCGGGGAAGGCAGTGCATTTCTCAGAGCAGCTGGGCAGGGCGGTGCCAGAGAAGGGGTACACCGCGGACTGTCCGAAAGGGTTCAGGGTGGCCGGGAGAGGGGCGCTGAGGGTCTGCCCTTGGTTCAGATAGGCCGCCTCATCTCCTCCAGAGCCTGCGCCTGCATGAGGATGTAGTTCTTGGCCAGCAGCAGCGTGGCGATTTTGGAGAGTTTCCTCACCGAGGGGCTGTGGGCGTAGGGGATGACCGAGCGCAGCCCGTCCAGCGCATCGTTCAAGTCGTGCATGCGCCTCCTCTCCCGGGCGTTGATGCTGAGCCTCAGCGAGCGCTGCTCCTTGGGCTTCTTCCCCAGGGCGCCCGCCTTCAGCTTGGCGTCCCGAGCGTCAGCAGCAGCGTGGCGATTTTGGAGAGTTTCCTCACCGAGGGGCTGTGGGCGTAGGGGATGACCGAGCGCAGCCCGTCCAGCGCATCGTTCAAGTCGTGCATGCGCCTCCTCTCCCGGGCGTTGATGCTGAGCCTCAGCGAGCGCTGCTCCTTGGGCTTCTTCCCCAGGGCGCCCGCCTTCAGCTTGGCGTCCCGAGCGTAGGCCGGGCTGCCCTGGGCCGGCTCGAAGGCGTCTTCCTCCTCCCCGCTCTGCTCGCCGCTGCTCTC